AAGAAAACAAATAAAACCAAGATTCCAAATCTGTACTCAACATTTATTCTGTGTGTCTGTGATTTCCTTCCTTGTCATAGCCGGTAATACAAATAACAGCAATCTGGCTTGCATATCAGCATATCACTATTCTAAGTTTACGGCTGGTAATCATCATCGACCATGGTCTCCTTTTTCCCCTTGCTCAAAAATTGGTCTTAGAAGTCTTATCCTTACAGTTTTCTAGGCTGACGTCATCAGATGACTAGAATTTACACCGTAGAGAAAACAGAATTGCAACCTTTGGTTTAGACCTGAATTACTTATATTTTTATAATAATTACTTACTTGGCCCTGGACAAAAGTAGTCAAAAGGGGAAACCATTCTGGGGTAAGGGGTAAAGGGTAAGCAGAGCTGTCTGAGTCACTTGCTATTAGGTGAACGAAAACACAGGAGATAAAACTAACCAGAGAAACAAGTCGAAACTGCCAAGCTTTCTACAACAGTTGCCAAAACAGGAAATTTACTTCCACTAGGCAGATATATAACCACAAAGTTTAACAGATTATAACCAGAAAGACAGGCTGAACAAAGAAAACTTAGACACCAAAATATAAAATAAAATAAAATAAAATCCTCCCTATTTTCCACTGTGAGAGAGATATGTAGTTAAGGTTACTTTGCTTCAGGTATTTTAAAATTCTAAATATATATTTATAAATAAAAATATGGCTTACAATTGCTAGATATTACTCATTTATCAAATAAAATAATAAAAAGCAAATTAATTTTTTAAAACTTTTGCAAGGTACCTGTACAAACACACCAGAGTGCCACAAACAGCCTCATGATTAGAATAAAATGAAGACGTTAAAAATAACGCTGTATAAGTGTATTCATTGACACAGAAAGTTGATCATGACATAATTAAGTTTAAAATGTGGGTTACAAAAGAGAATGTTCACTGTAATCTAGTTTTTTGTGTGCTTTTAAAAGTCTGAAGGCAAAATAACTATTAGTTAACATTTTGGTATAATCTGTAGACGGTGAGATTTTGAGTGATTTTTAGTTTCTTCCTTTTGTTTCTCTGTATTTCCTCGCTTTACTGCAACACACATATTATCTGAGAAATTAATTCTTTTTAAAACATACTGCAGCTAGTAATCTGCTCTTGGAGTTTATTACAGCCATCAGAAAGAAGCAAGGAGCAAAGTATTGGTCAACTACAGAAGCTTTGTGTTCAGACTTACCTCTCCAGTCACAGCTGCTTCCACACGGCTGGGTAACCAGAAGTCTGGTCTGATGATTTGAGGACCACTACTATATCCTGACAACCTCCCCACTTTCAACTCCTTAGAGACCTCTACCTTTAACAAACTATTTCCAGATATAGGTCACTCACAGCCAGGGTACCTCAAAACTAATCTTTAAAAGCACATGGTCTATTCAACTTTGTACTAGAAATTCCAACCAGAGCAATCTGGCAAGAAAAATAAATTACAGGCATGCAAATTAGAAAGGAAGAAGTCAAACTATCCCTATTGTAGATGACTGACCTTATATATGCAAAATCCTAAAGAATATACCAAAGAACTACTGAAGCTAATAAATTGAGCAGAGCTGAAGGATTCAAGATCAACAAGCAAAAAATCTGTTTTATTTCTACCCAGCGGCAATAAACCATCCAAAAAGAAAATTAAGAAAACAATTCCACATGATAGTATCAAAAAGAATAAGGAATAAATTAAAGGTGCAAGACATATACAAAGAAAACTTCAAAACACTGCTGACTCCTATGTTCATTGCAGCACTGTTCACAATAGCCACAATTTGGAAGAAACCTAAGTATCCATCAACAGATAAATGGATAAAGAACATGTGGTACTTATACACAATGGAGTACTATTCAGCCAAAAAAAACAGAATGAGATCCTGTCATTTGTAACAACATGGATGGAACTGGAGGCCATATAAGCTAAGTGAAATAAACTAGGCACAGAAAGACAAACATCTAATGTTATCACTTATTTGTGGGATCTAAAAATCAAAACAATTGAACTCAGAGATAGAGAGCAGAGGATGGTTACCAGAGGCTGGGAAGCATAGTGGGAGGGTAAGGGGAAGCTGGAAGTGGTTATTAATAGGTACCAAAAAAATTAAAAAGAATGGACAGGGCACGGTGGCTCATGCCTGTAATCCCAGCACTTTGGGAGGCCAAGGCAGGCGGACCACCTGAGATCAGGAGTTCAAGACCAGCCTGGCCAACGTGGTGAAACCCCGTCTCTACAACAATACAAATATTAGCCAGGCATAATGGTGGGTGCCTGTAATCCCAGCTACTCAGGAGGCTGAGGCAGGAGAATCACTTGAACCCGGGAGGTGGAGGCTGAAAAGAGCTGAGATCATGCCATTGCACCCCAGCCTGGCCAACAGAGCGAGACCCCATCTCAAAAAAAAAAATAAAGAATAAGACCTAGTATTTGATAGCACAATCTGAGGGTGAGGCAGGAGAATCGCTTGAACCTGGGAGGTAGAGGCTGCAGTGAGCTGAGATCGTGCCATTACACTCCAGCCTGGCCAATAGAGCGAGACTCCATCTCAAAAAAACAAAAAAATTAAAAAGAATAAGACCTAGTATTTGATAGCAAAACAATTATTGACTGTAGTCAATAATTTAATTGTATATTTTAAAATAACAAAGAGTATAATTGGATTGTTTATAGCAAGGGATAAATACTTGAGGAGATGGGTACTCCATTTTACTTGATGTGATTATTAGACATTACATGCCTGTGTCAAAACATCCCATGTACCCCATAAATATATACACCTACTATGCAGCCACAAAAAATAAAATTTAAAATTTAAAAAAAAAAACTGCTGAAAAATTAAAGTGTAATGAAATAAATGGAAATGCATCCCATGCTCATAAATTGTAAGGTTTTTGTGGTTTTGTTTTTTTATATTGTAAAGATGGCAATGCTTTCCCAAGTGATCTCTAGATTGAATGCAATCCCTATCAAAATCCCAACAGGCTTTTCTGTAAAAACAGAAAAGCTGATCTTAAATATGGAAATGCAAGGGACCAAAAAATAGTCAAAACAATTTTGAAAAAGAAGAATAAATTTGGAGGATTCATGCTTCTGAATTTCGAAACTACAGTAATCAAAAGAATGTGTTAACTGACATAAGGATAGACATATAGATCAGTGAAACACAACACAAAGGGCAGAAATAAACCCATACATATATGGTCAATTGATTTCTGACAAGGGTGCCAAGGCCATCTTCAACAAACAGTGCTGAGAGAACTGAATATATGCAGGCAAAAGAATGAGGTTGGACCCTTACCTCACTTAATGTACAAAAATTATTTCAAAACGGATCAATGACCTACATATAAGAGATAAAAGTATAAAATTCTTAAAAGGAAACTTAAGGGTAAGTATTCACCAACCGTAGATTTGGCAATTGTTTTTCAGATGACACCAAAAACACAAGCAATAAAAGAAAAAATAAATTGGACTTCATCAAAAAAATTTCTGTGCATCAAAACAGACGGACTATCAAGAGAGTAAAAATATAACCCACCAATGAAATATTTACAAATCATATATTTGATAAGGGTCTAGTAGCTATATAAAGAATTCTTAAAATGAAACAACAAGCAACAAGGCAAACAATTTAATATTTTTTAAAGGGGAAAGAATCTGAATAAACATTTCTCCAAAGAAGAGAAACAAATGGCCAAAAAGCAAATGAAAAGATGCTCAACATCATTAGTTATTAGGGAAATGCAAATGAAAACAACGAGATACCACTTCATACCCACTAGACTGGCCATTATCAAAAAGTGAAAAATAATAGATGTCGACAAGGATGCAGAGAAATTAGAATCCTGATACATTGCTGGTAGAAATTTGAATGGTACATCTGCTATGGAAAACAGTTTGGCAGTTCCTTAAAAAATTAAACACAGAATTACCATATGACCCAGTAATTCTACTCATAGGTAAATATTCAAAAGAACTGAAAACGTGTATTCAAATAAATACTTGCACACAAACGTTCACAGAGGCACTATTCACAATAGCCAAATGGTAGAAATAACTCAAATATCCATCAACTGACAAGCAGATAAACAAAATGTGGTATACTCTTACCATGGAATATGATTCAGCCATAAAAAGGAATGAAGTACTGATATATGTACAGGGTTTCTTTCTGAGGTGATGAAAATGTCTTGGAGCTAGATAGAGGTCGTGGTTGCACAACATGGTGATATATTGTATGCCTTGTTTTTTTTTTTTTGAGACAGTGTCTCACTCTGTCGCCAGGCTAGAGTACACTGGCACGATCTTGGCTCACTGCAACCTCCACCTCCCAGGTTCAAGCAATTCTTCTGCCTCAGTCTCCCAAGTAGCTGGGACTACAGGCACACACTACCATGCCCAGCTAATTTTTGTATTTTTAGTAGAGATGGGGTTTCCCCATATTGGCCAGGCTGGTCTCAAACCTCGTGATCTGCCCACCTCAGCCTCCCAAAGTGCTGGGATTACAGACGTGAGCCACTGCACCCAGCCTGTATGCCATTTTTAAATGGTTACTGCACTGGTAGCCCTTGCTACTTGGGAGGCTGAGGTTGGAAAACCCCTGAGCCCAGGAGTTCAAGGTTACAGTGAGCTATCATTGTGCCACTGCACTCCAGCCTGGGCAACACAGCAAGACCCCATCACTAAAAAATAAAATAAAAATATTTTATTTTATAAAAATAAGATATTTTAATAAAATTAAAATACAATGGCTTATGATTAATTTTAAGTTATATATGCCTCAATAAAATAATACCAAAACAAAGCATGGTCTAACAACCTAAAACATTTTAAACGATTTATTTTCCATTCAGAAACCATCATAGGTTTTTAAATAAATTAAAAGTTATTTCATCATAGCATTGTTTAAAAAGCTACTCTCCAAAATGCTTCAAAGAGTAATACTAATAGAACGCCCTATTTCTTACCAGAAGACTCTTTTCCATTCTGTTTTTCATACAGGGTGCCCACAGACATCAGGAAAACAATAACCAAGAATACTGGAATTCTCCATGAGCCAGCGAGGGATGCTGCAAATTAAGAATTAACATTTTTAGTGAAATAAAAACATAGTACTTGTTTTTACAAAACCGAATTTTGTAGTTTGACAGAACAATCTGGTATATATGTTAATTACAGAATTACTTATCAGGCAAAAAAAATTTTTTAAGTCCATTAGATAGATTAAACTTCAAGGTTTCCCAAAATTAAGTTCATCCCTGTTCTCAGAGGCCCCTGGTCAAAGGGATAGGGTATATGCCAGCCTACCTTTAATGTGGTTTAAAGACAGTCTATTGTAATGCATATCAAGGGTCTAAAACCATCCCGAACTCAAATCACCTACTTCACCCCAGAATGACCAGAATTAGGCATAGATCTCAAAGTCATAAAGTCTGACTTGGTTTCTTGAAAATACCACCGGGTGTGAACTTTCTCTCTCAAGAAAGAGAATGGCCCAAAAGAGCACAGCAAAAGAGTCAATGTCTCCTCCTCAGTGTATAATGCAAAAATGTTTACAAGTTGGCCACATGCAGTGGCTCACATCCGTAATCTCAGCACTTTGTGGGGGCCCAGGCAGGTGGGCTCATTTGAGGTCAAGAGTTCGAGACCAGCCTGGCCAGCATAGTAAAATCATGTCTCTACTAAAAATACAAAAAAAAATTAGCCAGGCGTGGTGGTACGTGCCTGTAATCCCAGCTATTTGGGAGGCTGAGGCAGGAGAATTGCTTGAACCCAGGAGCTGGAGGCTGCAGTGAGACAAGATCACACTACTGCACTGCAGCCTGGGCGATGGAGTGAGACTCCGTGTCAAAAAAAAAAAAAAATGTTTACAAGTCACCAAGAAACAGGTCTCTAGCCATAACCATTTCCCTGAGTCCACCTAAAACCTCATAAACATCCCTGCCTGCCTGCCTCCTTCCTCTGCCTTCCTCAAGTTCAAAATGAGTCATATCTGACATATAGGATCTAGGAGATAAATTCCTCTATCATTCCAACTCAACAAAGCTAGAGAATAATGCTTTGTTTGACATCAAACAAAGACAGAGACATAGCTGTTTTTTATTTTATTTTTAACAATAAGTAGTAGTTCTAGAAACTAAGGCTACCCACTGCTCTGGGTTACTGAATTGTGTTGTTAAATTAGAACTTAATGTTTCCACGGGCTCAAACTTGGGAGATGAAAGTCTCAACCATAAATACCACACTGAAAAATCAACATCTGAGCAGTCAGCCACCCAGCTAACATGACAGGGAACCCATTACTCTGAGCAGCTCTGACATCAAACATCCTTATGTGGAAAAGAGATTTGTCTCTCTGAAGCTACTCACGACTCTGACATCTCTCCCTCATGGTTAGAGATCTGTTTAAAGCACTCTTTCACAGGACAGTCCTTCAAATATTAGAAATACGCTTTCATGTCTTATATCCTCCTTACCTCTATCTCCTTTCTACCCTAGACCCCCAGTTCCCTCCTCTTATCCAGAGTAAACATCTCTAGTTCCTTTAACTGGTTCTCACACATGATTCTGAGGACTTCCTATCGTTGACTGCTTATCTATATCCTCCCTTAAGTATGACACTCAGAAATGATATGAAAATCCAAGGGTGCTCTACTTTTTAAGATGTATTGACTTTTAAAAGGACCTTTTGGAAAATGAACATAATTAAAGACATTTTAAAGCACATCATTTTCATTAAAATTTAATGAAAGATTAAAGCATAACATTTTCTAAAGATTAAAGAATTTTAAATGCAACATATAACACTACAAAAAAATCACTTCCATTCACAGTCAGCCTCTGCAGACCTTAGGCCAGACTTTAAAAAAAAAAAAAAAAAAAAAAAAAAGAAGGAACCCACCTAAATGAAAAAGCAATATAATCCAGATAGGAATTGAAACTGCTCTCAAGTAGCGTTCAGTGCTTGCATTCCACTTGAATGAAACAGTCAACACATAGCCAACCACCAACGTCCAGATCTTAAATAAATGAAATAAAGACACGGCTGTAAAATCTATACACATGAAAATGAACATAGAATTATATAAAATCTGTGTCTATACAGCAGGAGGGCTCTGGACATAGCACAGAAAAGATAAAGGTTGATGGCGCCAAAGAAACGTGCCTAGGTTCTCCTCGTTTAGAGAATCTAAGTTTTGAAACATTAGGCATTTGAAATCTCACGTAGTGATATTAAATAGTTGTTTAACAAAAGATACATAGCTCAAAAACCATCTTATACATAAAATGTTTGAGATAAAATATACAAAGCATAAACCATGGATTTAAATTAAGAGTCTAATCTTGTGGAATTCCTAGTTTTCTCTGTTAATCAATGTTTAGAAAAGAAATGGAAAGAAAAAAAAACAAGAAAAGGAAAGCTTTCCAAAAAGAATCAGGTTAAGATTCTATTGCAGCTTATAAAATATGTTTGTTACTAGGAAAATAACTCCGTAAAAGTTAGAAAGCAGCCAGCTGAAGTGTGACCCTGCTGAAATAATCTAGGCAACAGATGATTAGAACCTAATCCAGAATTATGATGTACCAGCTGAAGAAGTGTGCCTGAAAAAAAATATTATTAGAGGAACAAACAGCAGGATTTCAGAACAGAAGAATCAGCCAGGATACCCTCCTCAGTTCTTTCTATACTAAAGTTAAATGACTCTAGAGCTTAAGAAGCATCAAAAGAAACCAGTATAGCCTACACAGAAACTCATATTTTAATAGAACATTTATAAAACACAGGGAATACATAATCCAGAACACATCTGAGCACAAAGAACTTAATTAACATAAGACCAAGAAGCTAAAATTCAAGTTTGACATGAATCTTGCCAAAAAAAAAAAAGCACATTAAGACAAAAAGAAACTTCAAGCTATGTAATTCAGAGCATGAAGAAAAAAGAACTGATGGGATTACTAAAAAAGACAGAAAAAAACTATCTCCTACATTATTTTGGTCAAATCTGTCAATAAAAATAATCTTCACATCTTAAAAATGTTTATAGCTTCTAACCTCAGAATTCAACTTTCAGACTTTATCCTTACTAAATAATGATAAATTCTGAAAAAGCTTTAAATATAAAGAAGCTTATCAGAGTATGATTCAGAACAGTGGAAAAAGTGATTACCTAAAAGGTCAACAACTGGGAAACGATTATGACTTACTCAATAAAATGTTATGCAACCATTAAAATCACTTCTTAAAAACAAAGACTATACAGTTTTAAAATTCCCAATATCATACTAAGTTAGAAGTAAAATACAAAGAATGTATATGATGTGATTACATCTACTATATGGTGGGAGGAAAAGAAAATGTACTAAGAAGTTAGTGGCTGTATTTGGGTGGTAAGATTTTGTTCTTCCTTTCACTTTTTTCTGTATTTTCCAAATTGCCTTTAATAAGCACTAATTATTTTATAATAAAAAGGACATTAAAATATCTTCTTCAAGTAACTCTATCAGATGAAATATTAAAGAGCTCTGAAGCTCAAAAATATGAGGACATGGGAAGTGAGACTACAGCTGCTTCAAAAAGTCCAGTCTTGCTGGACCAGACCAATTAACCCTGGGAATTCAAAGAATTTGAGATCTGATGGTAGAGCGTAGAAAAAAATCTGAGTACAATAATAGTACACTTATATAACAGTCCTATGTGCCAGGCCCTATTCTAATGCTTTATATATACTAACTCATTTGATCCTCATAACCCCACAAAATAAGTACTATTATGATCCTCATTTTACACATGAAAGAAACTCAAATTTCAGAGAAGTGACTTGCCCAAGGCCACAAAGCTAATAAATGACAGAGGCAGGTTTAGAACCCAGGAATTTGGCTCCAGAGTGCACTTTTCTAACCATAAGGAGAAAGAAGTGTGGTGCTAGAATACCAAAGATAAACAAAAGCTGCTCAGATTTTCACAAGGGAAAATTAAAATAGTCAATTTTGATAACTACAACTTGTTGAAAGTTAAAAGAAAAAATTTCAGTAAATGGATAGTCTTCAGAGGTACGTCAGTTAGCCCCACCCTATTAAACATATGTCAGTCACTTAGATGAAAGACTAGAGGCACAATAATCTAAAAAACTGATTTTACACAAATCAGTTACACAAAACTGAGTTGTCAATAAACACTGAGATAACATATCATGATGCAAAAAGATATCCTGAAGCCAGAACAATGGGCTAATCCAGATAAGATTAAATTATATGAAAAGAAATGCAAAGTTCTGCTTTGAGGTTCAAAACTCAACTGTACAAGTATGGAATCGAAAGAGAACATCTAAACCACTTTTCAGTTCAGTGTGAGTCAGCATATGACTAGTAGAAGCACTTATTTCTGAAAGTACAATACTCATATCAGGGAAAGTGATTGTTTCAATTAATTTTGCACACCAAACCACACAATAAAATTCAGCCTTGGAAAGGAAATAGAAATCACAACGCGATATATAAATGTAGCTGGGGGAAAAAAAAGTTTTGCTTAGAAAAGAGAAGGAATCAGCTATCCAAAATGGAATAATCATCACTAAAAGTGTTTAAGCAAACGTCAACCAGAGATGACAAAGTAAGTACTACCCTTAATAAGAAGCTGAACTGGAGGTCACAATATATACAGTACCTCCAATAAGTTTTTGTTTCTTATCTGTATGCATAAGGAATTAATATCATTTGCAGGGAGAGAAAAAATAAGAGACTGCATACTTCAGATTTTTTAAGAGAAATTTATGATCTAACAAGAAGCATGTATTTTCATCTATCAACCTGAAACTCACAGATTACCCCATTCCAGTTTAAAATAACCATTTTAAAATATACTCCCCAATTCTACTTTTAGGAGTGTTTTACAGAAGCACACTGTGCAGGCAGATATAAAAATATTCACTGTTGCCATTTACAATATAAAAAATTGAAAACAACTTAGGTATTTTATAGGGAACTATTTAAATAATGCTATCTCCAAAAATTGAGTAATTACTCAGACTTTCAACAGTATGATGGACATCAATATGCAGTGCTACAATGTCAGTTTATTCGTCTGTAAATTTATAATGGTGAAAACATACTAAACAAAAAATATTTTAAAATATTATCTCTACATGGTTGGACTTCAAGGAGTAATTTGCTTATGTTTTTTTTTTACAGGTACTTAATTTTCTACTAAGGTTATGTAGTATCTTTATAAACAGAAAAAGAAGTATTTTTAACTTTTAGGAAATTCTTTTGGCTTCTGGATTTTTTTCCAGTATTTTGAAGTGTTTCCTCAGAAAAGATTCGCAGAAGTAATATCAGTTTAAGAGGTACGGGCCATTTATAAAAACACTTTAGAGTTTATATTAAGCCCATTATGATTATACAATTACCAATGGTTAAAAATGTTTATCAAAGTATTCTAATACAAATTCAGAGCTAAGAAAATCTGTTAAAAACATTTTCTAAAAGTGTTTTAGAAATCCGGGGGGAAAAAGATTTATACTGTAGCAGTATTAAAAAGAAAGAAGTGGCCAGGCGCGGTGGCTCACACCTGTAATCCTTGCACTTTGGGAGGCTGAGGCGGGCAGATCACATGAAGTCAGGAGTTCAAGATCAGCCTGGCCAATGTGGAGAAACCCTGTCTCTACTAAAAATACAAAAATTAGCCAGGTGTGGTGACATGTGCCTGTAATCCTGGCTACTCGGGAGGCTGAGGCAGGAGAATCACTTGAACCCAGGAGGTGGAGGTTATAGTGAGCCGAGATTGCACCATTGCACTCCAGCCTGGACAGCAAGAACAAAACTCCATCTCAAAAAAAAAAAAAAAAAAAGAAAGAAAGAAAGACGTGTATCTCTAAGTGCTAACAAGGAAAGATATCCACAGTACAATGATAAATGAAAGAGCAAAGTACAGAACTGTATGTTATCTCATCTTTGTTTTAAAAAACAAAAAACCAAAACCTTCTACTTTGTATGTTCACATGGGCATAGAAATGAATTTAGGAGCCTTTACATCAAACAGTTAACAATAGTAACATCTGAATAGTGGGACTAGTGGTGGAGAAAAGGGATAATTCGGCCGGGCGCGTTGGCTCACGCCTGTAATCCCAGCACTTTAGGAGACCAAGATGGGCAGATCACAACGTCAGGAGTTCAACACTAGTCTGGCCAACATGGTGAAATCCCACCTCTACTAAAAATACAAAAATTAGCCAGGCACGGTGGCGGGCACCTGTAATCCCAGCTACTCGGGAGGCTGAGGCAGGAGAATTGCTTGAACCAGAGAGGCGGAGGTTACAGTGAGCCAAGATCACACCACTGCACTCCAGCCTGAGTGACAGAGCAAGAATCCGTCTCGCAGGGAAAAAACAAGAAAAGGGATAATTCACTTTTATCATATAAACTTCTATTCTGCTTATGTTTTTTTCAAATGTAACAAACATTTTACTTGAGTCAACATTTTGAATCACTAAATATCCTTTAAAATAACAAAAATAAGGATTTGTACATTCATGTTTTACACATAATTTCTAGTCTAGGAACCCTTAAGAGTTTTTTAATTCTTAAATCTTCACTAACACAGAAACATGAGGTTAACAAGTCAACTTTATATATGTTTAGCCTCTGAGCAAACCTATTCAAGTGTGAATTTATTCCAGGCATTAAATCAATGAGCCACAGTTACAGATAAGAGGGCATATTTTTCCAAATTTATGTTCTCCAAAACGAGATGTCCTTTTCAAAATACACATTCCATAGTCGTTTTTATAGCACCAATGTGCTAGACACTACATAAGACTGCATAAAATTTGGCAACATTTACTTAGCACTTCAAGTAAAGGGAACTAATAGGCAATCACATTTTCCTTTCATTTCACACAATTATCCACATATACTTTCCTGGTTAAGTAACATATTAAATGTAGAAAACATTAACTAGAGACTCTGCCTTTTCAACTGTCTTTGTTTCATTTATTGTCATCTGGGCATTAACTGGAAA